CGTGTTTTCCGCGTCGTTTCTTTTGCAAGGGGTTGTGGCCGCGGCGCGCGCGCAGTGGCGTTCGAGCGGCATTGACGCGCTCGTGCGCGCGGGCGGCGGATTTTGGAAGCATTCTATGAGCGCGTCTGGTTTTCTTCAGAATCCGCAAGAGCGCGAGCGCACATGTATTTTTGACAACTCTTGCTGAGAAGCCATTTTTTGTTGAGAAGCCATTTTTTTATAGAAGCATAGCAATAATAGATTTACGAAAAAAACCGTGGCGCTCGATCTTGACATCTTAGGTTTTTTCGCGGATTTCGGCTTGCGCGCGCGCGCCTGCGCGCGCGTGTGCACTTCGTCCTGGTTTCTCGGCGGGGTTTTCGTAAGCGGATGGTTTTGTGTAGAGGATGGGGGGCGGGGTGGGGTGGGGTGGGTGGGGTGGGGGTGGGTGGGGGCGAAGTCCGGCCTGCCTGGGATGGTGTGCCTTCATGTCGAGGATGGGCGATGTGGTGAAATCGCATGTCACTTGCAATGCGAAAAAGGTGCGCAGTCAACTCCGGGGGGTGGGGTGGGGGGGGGGCAGGGGTCGATCATAATATTTCTTCGAGAGGAGAATATATGTGGTGCAATTGATTGTAACAAACGAGTTGACACATCCCATGCCTGTGTGAACATCCCATCCACCCACCCGCAACTTGGTTTGCAAAACCCATGTGGTGGCGATTGCGATGCGTGCTTGGCGTTGGCTGCTGCATTCCGCGGCCGCGCCAACCCTGCCACGCGCGCTCAGCGGCCAGCTAGTTTGGCGCCGCCGACGCCGCCGCGGTGGCGCTGACCGCTGGGCACCTCCCAGCGGGCGCTTCACTGCGAGTCGGCGACTTGGGCGGTCGCAGTGTCATGGCGACGTCGACGACGGTAGACGCGGCGGTGGTCGTAGCGATGCTAGTGGCGATGTTGACACCGACGAAGGCGCGGCCAGTGCGGGCGCCGATGCTGTTCACGCCGACGACGATGACGGCGCCCTCGCGTCGGTGATGAAGGTTTTGAGAAGAATTCGACATGCGCGCGCGGCCGACGCGCGAGAGTGGCCCGCGTGACATTATTTGACGCGGATCGTGCCCGCCCCCCCCCAGCGCGCGCGCAGGGGCGCGAATGATGTCGGCATGCGGAGCTAGAGGCCCGTTTGCGAGGAATCCATGGTCATGTTGAACAACCGATGGTTTTCTCGAGAGTTCGCAAAAGCGCGAGTTTTTGTTGTTGTTGTTGTTGTTGTTGTTGTTGTTGTTGTTTGCTTTCTTATTTTTGTAGTGAAAACGGATGTTTCGAAATCTTGTGTTGTGTGTATGTGTGTGTGTGTGTTTTGGGTATGCGGCTTGGAAGTCGCTGCGACGCCCTCTCTCTCTACCTCTCTCTCTCTGTCTCTCTATGTATGTATATAATGAATGATGCTTCAGCATGCGCATACATACATATATATGTATGTATATATGTATGTTTATATATATATATTAAAAGATGTTTATGTGTATGTATGTACGTATGTATGTATGTATGTAAGTGTATATACATGTATACACACAAATGTGTGTGTGCATATATATATATATATATATATCGAATTTCGGCATTGTCGCGCGACGGCGCGCGCGTGCATTTCGTCTCATGTTTTTGGCGCAGGATTCTTGCGACGGCGCGCGCGCAAGGGCGTTCTAACTATTTCGACGCGCGCGCGCGAAGGCCGTTCGGTTGCATGATATGAAAATGTTGGAAAACCAACAGTTTGCTTAATAATTCGCAAGAGCGCGCGCTTGTTGTGGTTTCGAAAATCAGCGTTGCGAAACAATTGGTTTTCATTTGATTTGGGGGCGCTCGATTTTGGAATGGAAGGTTATTGAAAGATCTCGGCGTGTGCGCGTGACGACGCGCGCGTGTGCACTTCGTGCCATTTTTTGCAGCGGCTTCTGGAGCGCTTATGCTTTTTGACCATCGTTCGCGCGCATCGTTTTTTCCCAGAAGATGCCGGGAGGGGCCGATGCCGGTTGCGCCAGGGTCGTATGAGTTCATATTTGGATGGGCGATGGGGCAAAACCACACGTAAATTGCAATGCGAAAAGGGGTGTCGAGAATCCCGTTTTTTTTTTTCTCGCGCAAACATCCCGCCCGCCCGCCCGCGACTGGGTTTGCAAGCCCGCGGCGGCGATTGCGATAAGTGCCCGGCGCCGGCTGGTGCATCTCCGCGGCCGCGACAGCCCGCGCGCGCGCGCAGCGGCTGGCTACTCTGGCGCGACCGACGCAGCCGCGGTGGCGCTGACCGCTGGGCGCGCCCCAGTGGGCACTTCAGTGAGAGTCGGCGGCTTGGGCGGGCGCGGTATCATGGCGACGTCGACGACGGCTGACGCGATGGTGATGATAGCGATGAGGGTGGCGATGCCTGCAGCAACTTCGGCGCGGCCAGTGACGGTGCGGATGCTGATCGCGCTGGCGACGATGACGGCGCCCGCGCGTCGGCGATGAAGGTTTTGAGAAGAGTTCGACATGCGCGCGCGGCCGACGCGCGAGAGTGGCCCGCGTGATATTATTTGGAACGGATCGTGCCCCCCCCCCAACACGCGCGCTAGGGGGCGCGAGTGATGTCGGCATGCGGCGCGTGAGGCCCGTTTGCGAGAGTTCCATGACCACGTTGAAACATATGGTTTCCGCCGGGATTTGCAAGAGGGCGAGTTTTTGACAACTGATGTTGCGGAACCGTATGTTTTTATATGTTTTTTTGGCGCTCGATTTTGAAATCATTACGAGACCGAAGGATTCGAGGCTTTCGGTGTGCGCGCGCGACGACGCGTGCGCGCACTTCGTTTCATTTTCGCAGGGGGTTGTCGCAACGGCGCGCGCGCGAGGGTTTTCGAACGACTTGTAGAAATATTCACCCTGTCGAACTTGAAGTTGCCAGCTCCATCGCTCGCGCGATCCTCCCGCCCGCCCACCTGCCCGCAGCTTGGACTGCAAAATCCATGCGACGGCGATCGCGATGAGTTTCTGGCGTTTGCTGGTGCGCATCTGCGGCCGCGCTAGCCCGCGCGTGCTCGCGCGCGCAGCGACCAGCTAGTGCAGCGCGGCCGACGCGGCCGCGGTGGCGCTGACCGCTGGGCACTTCCAGCTGGCATGTCAGTGCGAGTCGGTGACGTGGGCGGGCGCGGTACCATTGCGACGTCGACGACAGTAAACGCGATGATGAAAGTAGTGATGACGGTGCCGATGGGGGCGATGCCGACGGCAAGGCCAATGATGGCGCCGATGTTGATCGCGCCCGCCGATAACGATGGCGATGCCCTCGCGCCGGTGACGGAGGTTTTCGAAGGAGTTCGACACGCGCGCGCGGCCAACGCTCGCGAGTGGCCCGCGCTGTTTTTTTGACCATGGTCGTGCCCCTTAGCACGCGCGTAAAGGCGTTCGAATGAGTTCGACATGCGGCGCGAGAGGCCCGTTTGGGAGAACTGGCTTCTCCAAAAAAACACAAGAGCAGGAGGGAACTGATGTTGCAGAACCGTTGTGTTTTCGGGGCATTCGAATTTGAATTCTTCGCGACGCCTGAGGTTTTTGACGGGTTTCGGCATGCCCGTGCGCTGACGCGCACGTGTGTGCACTTCGTTCCGGTTTTTTGCGAGGGATTCTTGCGACAACACGAGCGCAAACGCGTTCGAACGATTTGGCCACGCGCGTGCGAGAGGCCAAATTTGGAAACATGTTAGAAACATGTTGACACAACCCATCGTTTTCCAGAAGGCAAGCACGCGAACGTTTTTTCCCAAGCATCCTGTGGTGTTGGGTCTTCGTTTTGAAAGAGTGCTCCGCGTTTTCTTCGTCTCCTTCCTCTCCTCCCTCCTCCCCCGCACCGCACCCATTTCGGCAAACCCCATCACCCGTTTCGTGACCCCATAGGGAGCCCCACCGAAGGCCCCAGTGGGAAAGTTCGCATGGCAGCCTCGGGCCAGTTCGGCGCACCCCTCACACGCTTCGTGGCCCCATAGGGAGCCCCACCGAAGGCCCCCAGTGGGAAAGTTCGCATGGTGGCCTCGGGCCAGTTCGGCGCACCCGTCACGAGGATCGTGGCCCCATACAGTCCCACCGAAGGCCCCAGTGGGAAAGTTCGCATGGTGGCCTCGGGCCAGTTCGGCGCACTCCTCACGAGGATCGTGGCTCCATAGGGAGCCCCATCGAACATGATAGTCACGACTGCGGTACTCACAGCTGCACCTGGTTGGGTCTTTCGCTAGGCTATTTTTTCTTGAGAAGTCTTGTTGCGAAACCATGTTTTTCAAATTGTTTTCGTGGCTTTCGATTTGGAAGTCCTCATGCAACCTGTTTTTTCCTGAAGGATTTCGGCATGCGCGCGAGACGACGCGCGCGTGTGCATTCCGTTCGGTTTTTGAAAACATGTTCTTGAAAGCGGATGATGGTTGATGAACGATTGCGCGCGCATATTAGTGTTCTGCAGAGGATGAGCAGGGGGGGCGGATTCTGGTTGAGCTGGGATGGTACGAATTCATATTTCGGATGGACGTTGGGGCAGAATCATACGTAAACTGCGATACGAAAAGGTGTACCGTTAACCCGTTGGGGGGGGTAGATCTTAATATTCTTTCAGGGACGGAGAATATATGTTGTGCGACGACAGAGCGGCGACGAGGTGGTGACGGCGAGCACGGAGCCGCCAGAGTGGCAGCCAGGCCCAGATGACGGGCGGCGATGAGGCGGCGACGGGGCTACGTTGATGAGCGCGGAGCCGCCAGACTTGCAGCCAGGCCAGGCTCCAACACAGGTAAGGACCCCGAAGTGCAAACACTGTTTGGGAAATGTGCTCGGCGGCGGGTGATTTCTGGCCACGCCGACTGGATAACGATGTACAACAACGTGTTTGTGCCATATGCTCGATTCCGACGCGCGCCTCGACGGGGGGCGCATAGCATTAGGACGTCCGCCTGCGTCCCATTGCCATACCCCCACCTCTCTTCCGCCTCCTCCAGGCGGCGCTGCCGACGATGGACCCGCTCCTCGCTGCTTGGCTGGGGGTGCACATCGCGTACTCCGCGTACGGCCACTTCGTCCCGAGCCATGTGCCCTACGTCGTGGCCCACCGGCACGCGGCGGGGAACTTCTCCCAGGCCAGGGGCGTCAGTCGCCCTTTCGTCGCCGATCGGGGCCGTGGGCCCGCCCAGGAACGTGCGGTCTCGCTATCGGTGGCCTATCGCCCTTCTGTCGGCGATAGATTGTGGATTCCAGCTCATTGTTCCCTCCTGAGCCACTCCCCCCTGTTGCCCCTCAGGGGGGAGGGGAGGATGGAAAACGAACGAACGAGCAAGCCTCGGACCTCCAGTTCCAGACCGACTGCGCACGAGCCTTCGCTTCGTAGCCTGCTTGCTCTCGGAGTCTGGCTGGTTTTACATACATAACCGTTCACTTTGCGCGGAATGCCTGCTTTCGCCAGGGGGTAGGCGAACGAGGAGGAGGAGGAGGAGGAGGAGGAGGAGGAGGAGGAGGAGGAGGAGGAGGAGGAGGAGGAATGAGGAAAGAGAGGGACATCACCAGCTGGTGTGGCGAGGCTTTACGAGCATGCTGGTTTCAATACTTACAAATTCTTGGTGGAATTATTTTATCACGAGCAGGACTTTGCACCAGGTGGTCCTTGACATGTGTTTCCGGCCAAAACTTTTTGGGTCTTCGAGTTGGTACTCCCGCTGCAGCGTTGGCCGCATTTCAGGATCCGCGCTCTGCTCCCATCGTTAAGCTGCTCTCCCGCCCCAGCGCGGACCACACTTCTGGATCCGATTCGTTCCTCGTCGTTGCGTCCTCCCTCGTTTGCCCTCCTCCGCGTCCCTGCTCCTGCTGCTGCTGCTCCTGCTTTCTCATCGTGTTCCTCTTGCTCCTGCTCATCCTCCTGCTCATTCGCCACCTCCTCCTCCCCCCCCAATGTACAAAGCCTCCCTTCCGGACTGATTGCGCATCACACGATGTGGTCATTTTGGGGATCAATGGTCTCAAGGACGCCCCAGTCGGCGGATAGAAAATGATTCAGCGCAGCGGAAAGAGATGGGTGGAAGGGGTAGGGTTTCAAATCTGGCGCGATCGCACCCAGCTTGTTCCTTTTTTCCCGGAAAGGGCATAGGCCCAGGGTTCTCTTTTAGTAGGTAAACCTGTCCCCCGGTGCCAACTTGAGGGAGGCCGGCGAATTTTTTCCCTGATAAATAACGAGGTCGAAGGAGGCCGGCGAATTAAAATTTGAGGATGTCTCGAGCGAAACGCTTGTTTTTGAAATCCCGATCGATAAATCACAGGGTGCGGGCCACTTTTTCGTGTGTTGAGGATGTCTCGAGCGAAACGCTTGCTCCGCAGAGTTTGCCGAGGATGTCTCGAGCGAAACGCTTGTTTTGCAGAGCCGACCGCGACGCGGAAAAGCGCCCCGCGCGAAGGAATTTCGATGATGTCTCGACTAATTCCTTTGTTTTTGTACGATTTCCTGGAATTTTGGCAGGATGTCTCGAGCGAAATGCACGACCCCACCCTAGCACTATAAGCGGCAAACACCTGAGCAGCACTTCCACAGCAAGGATGCTAATAATATGAGAAGAATAGAAAAATGTGCATGTGCATATATAATATAATAATACGTTTAGGCAATTTCCCCGGGGAAAAGGTAGGGCATGACTCTCCACAGCCTGGGCTCCCCCGGAGAACCTGCGGTTCACTCCTCCCCTCCTCCTCCGTTGCCCGGGGGATGTGGCGCCCGTGTTCCTGTTGCCCCTCCTTTCGTTGCTCGTGCTTTCGCCCCGCAGCCACTTGGGCTCCGTTGGCTGATGTGGGAGCCTTCGGAGCCTTCGGACCCTGATTCTGCAGGCGAGGCCCGCCCGGGAAAGGGGGGGCACCGCAACAGGGAGGGGGGGAACGGCCAGGAAGTGAAAGATGTAGGGAAAGGGAGGCGAGGGGGGAAGGTATGGATAAGGAGGAAAGGGAAAGGAAGAGTGGCTTTGAGGGGAGGGATTACCCCAGCGCGACCCTACTTAGGAGTCGGACCCCCTACGAAAGCAGCATTAGTAGTAACAGTAAAGTTCACTGCTGGTGGCCGCTGCCTGGTAGCCGGGTAGCCCTTGCGAGCGCAGGCGGTCGCTCGCCCTTGGTTTGGCCTGGCCTGGCCGCGGGCCCAGGCCGCCAGCCCGAAGCCCAAGGCCCAACGCCTTCGGCTTTTTGGTCATCTCACCAGAGGGCGGCGCGCTCCCGCTCCCGCGATCACCGCGGGCCGCGAGCACGAGCGACGAGCGGCCCCCGACAGGTTGCCGCCGTCGTGGGGCCAGCGCTGCCACATTGCCAACGTGGTCACATTGCAGTTGCAGTGCCGCCGCCAGCAGCGCCACCACAGCGCCCCGTCATTGCCGCCCCCCCTTCGGTCATTTATCTGGCGCGATCAGGGGGCCGCGCGCGGCATGCAGGCATGTTGCGCCTGGGCCTGCGTGCAGTTTGCACACCGGTGCAGCGCCTGATTTTGTAATTGTTGTCAATGTGTCTGCCCTCGTCTGGACATATGCGCCGCGCCGCGCCTTGGAGGGCCAGGGCCGAGACGGACGCGCTCTGTTTGTTTTGTGCAAGCCTTGGCATGGGATGGGCACTTGGCAATTGAATTGGCCATGGCGCCGCGACCGTGCCCGTCGGGCCGTCGGCCAGCGGTTCGTTGCAATCATCGGTTTCGGTTCCATTTGGCAGACCAGAGGCTGTAGTAATTGTAGTTAGTAAGTAAGTGCTAGGTAGCCCTTGCGCCTTGCGCCCTTGCGGCCTGGGGCCCAGCGCCCCAACGCATGTGACTTTAGCCGAACTTTAGCCTAACTTTAGCCCTCGGGCAGGGGCCGGGGCCGAGGCCAATCTGCTTTTTTGATTATCCTTGTCGCGCCGCCCGTTGGCGTCGACGTCGCGCGCGCTGGGGGCGACGGGCCCGAGGCCCCCCACGGCGTCGGGCATCGGGCGGGCCCCGGGCCCGGCCAACAGGCGGGAGGCCAGAGCGCAGCCAACAGGCGCGGAGCCTCCAACTCGGGAGCCAGAGCACGGCCAACAGGCGCGGGGCCTCCAGCCGAGGAGCCCGACGACCAGACGACGACGACGATGTCCCGCGCCAAGGCCGCCCAGGCAACGCCCGCAGAGGTTGCAGAGCCGCCCCCGGGAGGGGAGCCGGGGAGCAGATCGGGAAGCACGCGGCGAGGGTGCGCCCGGGGCGGGCGGGTATTTTTTCTGTTTCGGCGTTTTTGTATTTTTGCAAAAAATATTAAAAAAACGAAACGCAAAAACTATTAAAATAGTAAAAAAATAGTTTTTCCCACATGATTTTTCTATTTCTTTATAATTATATAAGAAAAATACATCTCCCCGGGAGAACACCTATTTTTCCAGTTAGAAAAATACATCTCCCCGGGAGAACACCTATTTTTCCAGTTCGCGCAAAGAGGGTGGCCGGAGGGATTACCTACTTTTCGGAGACCTGTCAGGATCTAGTTCCCCTTGTTCTCGGCCGTTCGGCTGGCGGCCCTCGGCGCTGAAGACGTCAGTGCTGGGGTGCCAGTTGGCTTGACGGGCCCAGGCCGCGCACTGCGGCGACGTTCTGCGCGAGGCTGGAGGGCGCCGGCCCCGGCGCAGCCCCGGCGAACGCCAAGCCAAGCGCAGTCGGACTCGTCGACGTCGAGCGCGGTCATGTCTTGCACCCAGAGCTTCTGGGCGGGGCATGGGCAGGCCCGGGCGTTGGCCTGGGCCATCGCTGGCGCCATGCTGGTTCATTCCAAGTCCAAGTCGCGCTCGGGCCGATCGGGAGATCCAGCAAATTACGGCACGGCAGACTGCCATTGTGCCATTGTGGCCTGGTGCATGTTGAGTCAGGATGATCCAGGATGGCTTGCTACCCGCAGGGGCGGTGGGTTTACCGTTTACCAGTCCTACAAGTCGGGCAGGCGCTGGCGCCACTGGGGCCGAACTCTTGGCAAACATCCACGCGTGCGGCATGGCAGGGGCAACGAGCTCGAGCTGGAATCCTCTGATGTGCCTTGGCAGGGTCAATGCTGGCAGCTGCTGGCAATGCTCGCAGTCGGGCAGGCATTGGAGTCGAACTCGGCGTTGCGACATTTTTTGTTTCGTGATGCCCGGTGGGATCCAGCGTGGCAACGCTGATCTCTACTTCGCTTGGAGGCGCTGGAACCGAATTGAGGCAAACCTCATGACTCATGCAAGTCGGCCTGGTGGGAGCAACGAACGCTGCAAATCCTTTCAGGGGGGCCTAGTCACTCGTCACTAGTCCTAGTGACCTAGTGGCAGCGACGCTCGGGCAGGCGCTCGAGTCGCATGTCAGCGACCTGGTTGTGGCAGCTTTGTAGCAGCAGCTAGCAATGCTGATTTCTTCATGGAGTGGGAACAGTGCGACGTGCTCTGGGCGCCTGGTTCATGGGTTCGGGCAAACCACTGTTTGCGCGTTTTCCCAGCATTGCTCCGACGTGCTTTCTGTCAAATAGGTCGCGCGCGTCGCGCGCAGTGCAACGGCAGACGCGACGGCGAGCCCGGCGCACGGCGGCCGCGTCGATTGTTCTGCTCAGGCAGGGGCCAGAACAGGAGAGGGGGAGGATGAGAAGAGTCTTAGAAGGGGTGGGGGGGCCGGAAGGGAGGTGGACGAGCAGAGGAGGAAGGCGACGGTAGGCAGGGGTGGGCGAGGACGAGGGGGCGGGGAGGAGGGACGACGGCAGGAAACGACAAAGGAAGGGAAGCAAACGAGGTGGAGGAAGAGAGGAAGCGCTGCACACGATCCGTTCCCTGTTGGTTATATCCACTGCTGCGCGGGATCAGCTGTTTTTGTTGTGAGCTTGTCTGGTTTGCATGCGGTTTTCATATTATTTTGATATTATTTGTGTATTTTGAGCATTTTCGGCAATACGTTGTGAGCCTTTGGGCTGGGTTGTATTAATACAGAAACAATACAGAAATAATACGAGCGATATAGGAATGCCGCCTGTATTTTTATGATATTAATAGAGGGCGGTTTGTTTCTATGTTTTCGATAATAATAGGGGGCAACTTGTTTCTATTTTTTCGATAATAATAGGGGGTTTGCTCTTTTTGAGCTCCTCAGGAGCTTTGCCGGTTAC